GCCAGCCCCAGAAGAGGTTTAACAGCCTCTGAGAGCCTAGAGCATTTGTGTGCCGGGAGAGGGGAGCGTGGCCAGACAAGGTAGTGTCCTTCAGCCTGCATGAACAGCAGACTCATTGCAGCCTCCACCTGCCAGATGGGCTCCAGGACGAGCACTCCTAAATCTCTAGACTCGAGCACTTTGTCCAGTGACTCCTCTCCCTCCCAGCACACAGCAGATCTAGGCTTCCCAGATAGGGTTACGCAAGGATGTGACCCAGAGAACCGGTGCCTGAGTCATCGATCAGATGAACCACGAGTATCTCTGGTCTCAGGGAGAATTCTTAGTAGACTCAAGACGCTAGCAGAACTGAGTGTCCGTTTTCCTATCCACAGCCTCAAGGCCTGGCACAGGTGTGTGTGTGTGCGCAAGATTATCCCGGTGGACATCTGTCTCGTACCGGCGGTTTTCTCTCCCCAGCAGAACGGCAGGTAAAGCTCATTGCTGACTGCCGCCAGTTCACCTGCTCTTCCTGAGGCCCCTGGTGGGCTTGGGGCTGGGGCATAGTCATTACCAGAGACTCCGATGAGAGTCACCCGCCTGGGAGCCTTTCCAAGTTCACAGCCCAGACTCCACCAGTACCAGAAAGGCATTTGTGAAGGCTGTTTGGGTGAGAGGAGCATTAAGAGCTGCTAAGCCAAATGGTCATAAAGGCAAACAAAGTTCTTGAAGTGTCCTAGACTATCAGGAGAAGGAACGAGGTGGGTGTTGTACAGTGTACCTGCACTGCCCGGCTTGGTGTTGGGGCCTGGGTGCTGTGCACGCTGGCTACCTTTGGTCTTCCCCTCCTTCCAGGCAGGCTCAGCCCTTGTAGGCTCCTTCCGTCTGAGGTCCTTGCCTCTGCTGTCAGCCATGGAGAGGAGTAACAGACAATGCTGGGAGCCTCGGTGGGTCCCACTTCCTTGAGCTGAAAACTCCCTTTAGGTTCAGCCGTGCCTGAGCTTTTCCTTTCTGGAGTCATCTTTGCTCTTGGCCTTGGCTCCCTAACGCATGCTTCCTCAGGCTGCCTTTCTGTGTAGGCTTCCTTCTGAGTTAGGACTCCGGGAGGGCTGGAGCCTCTGGCCTGCATCTCCAGGTAGCATCTGCCCCCCGCAGATCAGGGGGCAGCTGGTGTTTGCGTGCATGTGACAATCGGCTCTTCAGGATATGAAGATGGCTCACAGCAAAGCAATCCCACAGATTACCTAAGCCTGAGGCAGCCTGCTCCATTATAAAAAGAGAAAAACGCATGGAGACTGCCACTTTCCTGTTAGGTTGTGTAATGCACAGGTTGCTGACTTATGTGTAGCTTCAGTGGCAGGAAAACAGACCCTCTCCTGTTCATGCATTCGTCGCCAGAGGGGGCAGGCAAGTTGGCGCGGCCCTCTGTGAGGGCCTTTCCTATGCGGACCACAGATGCAGGTACCTTTGATCTCGCAGTCTCGTGTTGGGACATCAGGATGTTTCCTCTCCAGACCTGCAGATCTTTGTGCAAAGCAGCCAGTGCCTGAGATTATTCCTGGTAACATTTTTGTGATAGCAAATGATTGGAGCCACTCAGACGTCTGCGACTCGAAGACCGGTTCAGGAAGTGACCTGGGGTCCGGTGGACTGGATGTGGAGAAGAATGAGGAAGTGCCGTGTGCACAGACCAGGGCAGGTCTGCAGGTCTCCCGTGGAGAAAACAGAGCCAGAGCGGTGCAGCAGGTGCTGCGTGCCATCCTTTGTGTGGGACTTGCGTGTGTGCTGAGGAGATGCAAACATTGCTGTTTGCCCAAACTCCGTAAGGGACACAAGAAGCCAACACAGCCTGGGCTTGTGTGGGGAGGGGAGTGGGGCAAGAGGAGGCTGGGCAGAAAAGGAGCTCAAGGCAGATTCCAGCTGTTTCTTTGGGTATCATTTGCATTTTGAACCATGAGCATATTGAAAAGATTGGGGGCAACGGAAATGTTGAATAGAGTCTGTAGCACACGTTTCATTTTGAATGTTTTAAAAAAATTGGTGGCCTTCTCGTGCCTGGACTGGGGTGTTGTTGGGCTAAGGAGAGGAAGCCCAGTGAAGTAAAGCACCCTTTCTCATCACGTCCTATCAAAGACACGTGGTCTTGACACACTTCCGCAGATCCTGGCCAAAGGGTGTTCTACAAAGTACTTGACCAGCACTTCTCAGAATTGGTGTGACCCAGGGTGGTGTGGGCACAGCCAGGACCTGTGTGATGTGCCTAGGTACAAGGGGAGGGGGATTCCAAGCCTGGGGAGGAGTGAAATCTTTGCTCAGGGCATAGGTGTGGACACATTAAAGGGAGTCAGGGTTGGAGGTGGAGCCGATGGTCTGAGCCCAGGGCCCCTGACCTACTGGGAAGGGAGTAGCCAAGAGTGTTTCCCCTGTGCCAGCCCTCTCTGGTTGAGTGGCTGTGGAGAGCTCTGCTTTGGCCTGGCTCAGTGGGAGGAGTGTGTCATTGTTAGTGAGGCTGCCAAGGCCAGGGGCAGGGGTGGAGAGCAGGCAGCAGATACCTGCTGGGCCTGGGGCCCTGGGAGGGTTAAAGCCTGGAGGAGTTGCCCCAAGCTGCAGCCACACCGTTTTCTGTTCTTGGACCTCAGAAGACCTTTTTCCCTTTCCACATCTCTGCAGTGTGGCCAGGGTGGTTTGGGTTGGAGCAGAAGTAAGCATGGGAGAAGAACGGCGCCCGCTCGGCCTGCCTTGCAGCTGTTGAGGACACCGCACCTCTTGCAGCCTGGCCCCTGCTTGCAGAACAGGGTGTTCCCAGGAGGTGGAAAGACTGGTTTTCTATCAGATAAAGACAGGAGCCCAGGAATCCTCTAGGGCCCTTTACCCGGATGACACAGCCAGGAGAGTGGCTGTGTCAGCCAGGTAAGGGAGTGGGAGAAGAAACGGGAGCCCTGAACTGTGTGTGCCTCTGTGTGGATGAACATGTGTGTTCAGCCTAGGGCAGCGGCTGAGAGGGACTGGAAACAGTCCCTGCCATCCACCCTAGGGGGAGGCAGCCAGGCCAAGGGGGGCCTCTTTTTTTTTTTTTTAATGCATTATTTATTTATTTATTTATTTGAAGGTGGAGTTACAGAGAGTGACAGAGAGCGAGAGCTCTTCCATCTGCTGGTTCACTCCCCAAATGGCTGCAATGGCTGGAGCTGGGTCCATCTAAAGCCAGAAGCCAGGAGTTGCTTCTGGGTCTGCCACATGGGTACGGGGGCCCAGGCACTTAGGCCATCTTCTTCTGCTTTCCCAGGTCATTCATAGCCAGGAGCTGGATTGGAAGTGGAGCTGCCGGGACATGAACTGGCACCCATGTGGGATGCCAGCATCTCAGGTGGCAGCTTAATCCGTCATGCCACAATGCCGGCCCCAGAAATTCTGAAAGGGATCAGTATAATAAAACAGCTGATGTGTTTACAGGTTTCAGAGTGCTGTGATTGTATCATGATATACAGTGATGGTGGGACCCCATGCCCAGCCAGCATTGGTGATACTAAGAGTCATCACTGTGCCTGCCCTTTGTGGAACTCACAAAGGCCTTCAGAGCACGTAATTAGTGTCTACACATGGGATTAAACAATGTAAGATTGATTTGTGAATTTTGTCCTTTGGTCTCTCATGTGCACTCACTGGTGGGTAACCATGGAAATAATCAGTCTTAGTGGCTTTATCTTTAAAAAATGCTGTTAGAAAGAAAGTTTCGAAGCATTATATATAACACCAAGAATGTCTGAGGTGGGAATGCTTTTTTTTTAAATATAAATGTTGGGGGTGGGGAGCTGCAGGTGCATTCAGGGTGTTGTGAATAATCTGGGGCTCATTTGTCACGTGAGCTTCTCTGTGAGCCGTGCCCTGGTTGACATGTTGGGATGATGTTCTTCTGGGGTGTCTGTTTCTCCAGTTTTGGGGGGTGCACTGCAGTTGTATGGTAAGAATGGGGCTGTGGATTTAGATAATCTTGAGTTTCTAAGGCAAACTCAGTCCTTAGCCCCTGGGTTTCCCCCTCATAGCCTCCATCTGGACTGGAGATGACATTAGAGGAGAAAATGTTAAGAAATGCCCAGCCCGGAACCTCATCTGGTTGGCATCCAGTCCATGGCACTGTAACCCAGCGATTGTCTAGATGTGGCCTCTGCGGCCTGAGAGCTTGTGAGGGCTCGAGTCTGAGAGTGGGGGAGGGTCTCCGTGGTCAGCAGCAGGAGTCCCAGGGAGAGCCTGGGCTAACTCAGGCGTTCATTCATCAGGAGCCAGACTGAGGGTCTCCAGGCTGCAGTTTCTCCATGCAGGGGTGAGGCTGGGCCAAAGGGTCTTTATGGGCTTGTCATGCACTGTTCGTACTTCCAGGTATTGGCTTTGTCGGATTTGGTCTCCCTGGCTGTGCGCTACTCTCTGAAGTCCCGGCCTCATAACCCAGCCAGCGGCTGACAAGGAGGACCTAGAATTGGACTGACTTTCTGTGATTCTGCATAGCCCATACCCAGGCGCAAAGGCACTAGGGAGCCACCTTGATTTCTGGCTGCAGGATTCCTGGGACTGAGTCACAGCGGTCATGGCTGTGAGGAGTCATGTTTGCTTTGTGTGCGATCCCAGACTGTGTCAGCAGTGACTGCCACTGGAACACAGCATGGCAGGCGCCGTGTGCCAGGTGTCGTGAGCCTCACAGCGCTAACTGCATCCGTGTGCAAGGGGCTATGGCTCAGGGTCCTCTGGAGGAGTATTTGAACATGGGAGAGCTGGGTGACTGTCCCGGCTGTGAGTCAGCCTAGGCCCCCGAGAGTCATCTAAAAACTCTGCTGGGTGTGTTGATTCCCTGCTTGGGAGCCTTAGAGGAAATGAGGCAGTGATGGCTGATGGTAAGTGCATGCACTCTGCCACTGCCTTGTCTGGGTTTGAATCCAGCTGTGTGATCTTGGACACAATATTAACCTCTCTGAGCCTCAACTCTCTCATCTGTGAAATAGGAAATTCTAACACTTTCTGTCTCATAGGATTGGGACTTTGCATGAATTAATGTGGGCAATTGCACAGTGCAGCACCTGGCCTCCCAGCAAGGTTGCTGTCAGAATTGAGAGCAGCAATGCCCTCCACACCGCGAAGGTCTGTCAACGAGGGCTGCTGCTGCTGTGCATTGCCACTGTTCCTTTAGCCTGGCCTGGCCTCGCCTCACTCTCTGTCTGCTGCCCACCACTCTCCACCACTCTGGCCACAGGTAATGGCTTCTGATGGCTTGGCTGTTTCTCTTAGACAGTGGGGCTTGTGGGCACACGGGTCCCAGGTCCTGGTCTTCTTTGCTTCTATGGTATCTTGCAACAAACCCAGCTGGCTTGGAACTAGTGCTCAGGAAACAGTGACCAAGGGTGACGTTGGCTGGCTTAGTGCTTTCCGGGAGAGAAAGCACAGTTCTCTCTTGCTTTGTTCAAATTTCAGATCAGGGACAAGCAGGTGACAGGAGGTCAAGACAGTGTTGTCAGCCAGAGCTGTGAAAGGGCACAGTGGACGGCGAATGAGCCCTGGGCTCCAGGAGAGGAAGGAAGATGCAACCTCCCGGGGCAACAGTGAGAGAGTGAGCTGGTGCCCAGGGCGCTGTGGAGGCCGTGGAAGACCCTGGGAGAGCCGCGTGGAAGAGGTGAAGCTGGGTAGCACAGCACAGGGAGGGATGGGCAAGCTGTTTGAGCCTCTGAACACATCGATACGTTGGCACCCCACGTTCCCACTCCTCGCAGCCCCCACCCCTGGTGTTTCTCTCCTTGGCTCCTCTCCCACCATCCCCAGAAGCCGCAGTGCCGCAGCCACAGTGGGCCGTTTCCTGTCCCAGGGGCTGCCTGCCCTACTCCAGTCCTGCCGCAGGCATGACCTCACCCCATGGGCGGCCGGGAAGCAGGGCTCCTGTTTCCCGCCTGTTTACCCTGGCTCTGCGACAGGGCTGTCACGTGGCCCCGCTGAGATGCCAGCAGCGTGAGTCGCCGACAGTGGGCACAGGCAGGCGGGAGGGGGGCATTCCTCTGGGCTGACTCGTACCCCGCTTGCCTGGCACGGGACCCTCGGCTTCTGGAGGCAACTCAGGGGCGAGCAGCTGGCCCGGTTCTGTGCTGGGGCTGCTGAGTCATCCCCTGGCCTGGCCGTGCAGCCTCTGAGTCATGGCAAGGCCCAGTCCTAAACAGTGAGCCCTTTGTGGGGCCCTCCTGGGCTTTCCTGTCCCTCGAAGCATTTCAGGGGACCCCACTTTGGTGTTTGACCCTCTCTGCTGCCGGCCTCCCTTGAGAGTTCTTGCACCACCCTCACTTTCCAGGCCTGGGCGTGGGTGCCAGGGACTCGGAGAAATATCCCTCAACCTCAGTCTGCCTCCCGGGATCCTGAATCCTGGAGCAGCTGAGTTAGAAGAATGATGGGTGGGGAGGGGCGGGGTTTGCCGGCAGGGCTGCAGAGGGAGCCTGCCAGTATCCTGTGTCTCGCATGTTTTGTGAGCCTCTTGAAGTGACTGAGAACCCAGCTGGTTACCATGAGTAAGCAGGTGTGAGCATCACACCTGTGTCTGGGCACCATGCAACATACACAGTGCACATTGATGCTGTCAACGCCCGTCCCAGCCCTGAGATGTTGTCCTTAGACCCATCTCATGGTTGAAGAAACTGAGGGTCTAATAAGAGCAGATACTGGCTCAGTGTCCCATAGCTAGAAAGCAGGATGTCTGGAATTTAATCCCACAGGTCCCTGACTCTGTTTACTATTTTAAACTCAAGATTCTCTCCCTCTGTCTGTCCCTCTCCCTTTCTTCTCCTTAGCTACTGAATCTTCCCTAAGGATAGCAGCTGTCAGCAGTGCAGGAGGCTGGCTATTAAGGGGAAACAAAAGTGTCATTAGGAGTCCTGCTGTCACCGTGGGTTGAGTCTGCCTGCTGAGCCCTGAGGGTGGAGGCCTGGCAGTGGGGACCCCTAAGGGCTGGTGTCTGGGGGGTGGGGGCAGTGGGTTGTGTTGAGGCTGCAGAGTGCCAGGCTTGTCTCCAGACTGAGAGGACCTGTCTGGGGTGCAGGTGCGCCCCCCCTTTTCAGGGGGGCTTTGCTGGGCTGGGTCGTGTCTTTTATGAAGACAGGATCCAGATTTCTCTGAGCCTAGCAGCTTCCTCCCCCTGGGAAGGGGGCATCTGCCTGGGGAGAGGAGTTTGCATGTGAAATGAGCTCTCCAGGTGAGGCGGGAGCACTTTCCTAGGTCACCCTGGGATGCAGGTTAGGCCTTCCAGTGTCTGCAGTACTCAGTGGGCTGGCAGGGAGTCTAGACCAGGGAGGTTGCTCTGAGCAGAAAGGGCCACAGCACAGGGCTTGCTTGGGCCTGTGTTTGAGAACACAGTCGTTGACCTGTCAAAGGGATGAGGGATGGGGGAGGGGAGGGAGCGTGGGAGGTGTGGCAGGCAGGTGTCTGTCCCATCAGTCTGGCCGGAGCTGAGAAGCAGCTGCCTCTCCCCCTGCTCTCCTCCCCTTTCCACGTTCCAGCCTCTTTCCGGCACCCTCTCCCAGCCCCCACCTCTGGGCCCTGTGCAGGTCGGGTGGCAGTTGCCATTTGTACACAAGTTCGTCCTGTTTTCCTTTCGCATAGGCAGATGTGGATATTTGTGTTCATGCCTCTATCAAAAGCAGAGCAAGAAAACAGTCTTGAGATCTATTGTGTTTCTAGCAAAATGAGAGTGAGCACCCCTCTTCCTTGAAAGGAACATTTCCACACCTGCCCTGGACTCTAGCTGTGGAGCAAATGATGGACGTAGGGAGGGCCTGGACAGAGAGTGGGGATGTGTAGGGCTTAGCTGCAGTGTTGGGATGCCTCAGGGCTGGAGCTGGGTGTCCTGTGGACACTTTCATGGCCAGTTACTGTGTGCCAAGCTGGGAAGCTAGGTGCTTCCTATATTAACTCACCTAATCCACCAAAACCCAGTGAAGAGGGTGCATTATCATTTCCCCCATTTAACAGGCAAGGAAACCAAGGTTTTAGGGGCCACATAACTTGTCCAAGGCCATGCAGTTCTAATGGGCAGACCCACGCTCAGACCTAGGGTGTGGGGCCCCCAGACTGTGTTGCTCACTGTGCCTTGGGAAAAGATTCATAGCCCTCAGATGGTGGCCAAGCTGCTGCTAGGAAGTGAGTATCTGATTCATTTAGAATCCCAACCACTTTGTTGTCTCCTTCAGTAGACACTAGGGGCTGAGGAGTTGGGTTGAGTCACTGATAATCAGAGCATGCCTGCCCGTGCCTGCCTCTTCCTAGACACTGGGATGCTGGGATGAATAACACCTGTTTGAGCTATTGGTGGCACTGGCTGCAAGAGGAGGCAAGTCACTTCCCCTAAGGGACTCTGGCAAGGGAAACCACAGAGGGATGTCCACATTTTCTGATTTCAGGTTCATTGCTTTGTGATCCTCATGTACACCCCTGTCCTCTTGCATTGCTAGCACATAGTGGAATTTCTATGCCTGTTCATTGAATGACTATGAAATCGTCTATTTTCTACACCTGAAAACGTTTGTTAGTTGGCTCCATCTTCAAATGAGGCTGCAAAATGGGCTCATTTGAGGGGCTGGCACTGTGGTGTTGTGGGTAAAGCTGCTGCCTGTGGTGCCGGCATCCCAAATGGGCGCTGGTTGGAGTCACGGCTGCTCCAGTTCTGATCCAGTTCTCTGCTATGGCCTGGGAAAGCAGTAGAAGATGGCCCAAGTTCTTGGGCCCCTGCACCCCAGTGGGAGACCTGGAAGAAGCTCCTGGATCCTGGCTTTGGATCAGCCTAGCTCCACTGTGTGGCCATTTGGGGAGTGAACCAGTGGATGGAAGACCCATCTCTCTCTCTTCCTCTTTCTCTCTGTAACTCTGCCTTTCAAATAAATAAATAAATCTTAAGAAAAAAGATGTATACGCTTTCATCTATATTAAAAAAATGGGCTCGTTTGTGTGGCAGGCTGTGATGAAGTCAGGCTGATAGGTTGAGAAGAGGAGAAACAGGGTTTTTCTGTTGAAGAGACTAAGCCATGTGGCTTAGCTGCTAAAGTTGCAGCCTGGGCGTTGGGTCCAGTCTCGGCTGCTCCACTTCCAGTCCAGCTCCCTGCTGGTGTGCCTGGGAAAGCAGTGGAGGCTGGCCCGACTCCTTGCGCTCCCGTCCCAACGTGGGAGACCCAGATGAAGCTCCTGGCTTTGGCCTGGCCCAGTCCTGGTCTTTGCATCCATTTGGGGCTGAGCCAGTGGATGGAAGATTTCTCTTTGTCCCTCCCTCTGTCTCTCTAATTCTATCTTTCAAATAAATAAATATTGGGATTTTAAAGAATGCTCAGAATTAGGTCACTCTAGAAAGGCCGCAGGGTCCCGAGTTTGGTTATTTTCTTGGCCGTGTAACTTGTGACCGGAGGTGGCTGTGAGGCCGTAGCTTGTGTTCTCCGAAGGGTGAATGAGATGGATGCTCTCTGAAGAGAGATGTCTCAGATATTGGCAGAAAGCCGGATACTGAAGTAGCATTTCTGTTTTTCTTTCTTTGATTAGAGCTTTCAAGTCAGTCTTCTGTAAATGAGTGGTCAAGAGGGGAGGGATTTTCTGGAGCTGGACTTGACCCGTAGAAGGTGGGCACCGCAGTGGTTTTGAATGAAATCTGATGCCCAGCCGTTCTGTGGCCTGGAGTCAGCACTTGACCCCTTTCTCTTTCTTTTCCTGTTGTTACTACACCCGAACATTCACTTCTGATGACACTTTTTGTAAATGAGAGAGAAATTGAGTATTTTTTTTTCCTTCCAACTTTATTATTAGATTCAGATTGAGTTCTGGGCTTCTGGCTTCAGCCTTGGGTGTTGTGAGCATTTGGGGAGTGATTCAGCAAATGGGAGCTGTCTCTGCCTCCTGATAAACTGAAAAAATGAATAGAAAAGAAGTTTTTTAAAAAATCTGTGGATGCCGACATGCACCTTATATAAAATGCATAACCTCCATACATCTTCCTGTTTACTTTAAATTGTTTCTTGATTATTTATAATAGCTAATACAACGCAAATGCTATGTAATTAGTTATCCTGTCTTGTTTAGGGACTAATTACAAGAAAAAGTCTGCATATGTTCACCGTAGGTGAAATTTTTTTTTTTAAGATTTATTTATTTATTTGAAAGAGTTGCATAGAGAGAGGAGAGGAGGAGAGGGAGAGAGAGAGAGAGAGAGAGAGAGAGAGAGAGAGAGGTCTTCCATCCACT